TGCAGGTAGCGTTAATAACGCCAAGGACGTGGCGTAGTGAGTGGCTTTAACAACGCCACTGCCTAGTTCACACACAAAGGCGTACGCTACGCCAGGCTTAAGCCAGCCTTACGCCGTGTGTGTGAACATAGCCTCAGATACGATTTTACAAAAGATAGTATATCTTTAATTACTTGAACTTTAAGCTTCACGTGTAGCAGGTGTGAAGAAACAAGTGTTTTCCCTCAGTACACTGCTTGCATTTTCAGAATAAATATTTGAGTGTATACAATGAATCATAATGGACAACAGAAACAGCAACAGATTTATTGGCTATATATCAATGGTCAACCATTGAATGTCCAGATGATATACCAATGTTTACATGAAACACAGACAGCTTTCTGTATTGCCTTTGATAGTACATCTCCCTGGTGCAAATAAAACAACTTTTCAGTGAGGGGCTTACACTCCATATTCTAGCCAATCAGAGGTTAGCGAGTTTCAGGATACTTTAAGACAAGAGTACTGAAAAGCTCTGTTCACACTATAAAATTTTCTTTGATATGCCCATATATAGTCATGATGTGCCTATATATGGTCATGATGTGATGTCATCATGACCATATATAGGCATGTCACATGGTTTTGTCAAATAAAATTTAATAGAGTGGACACAGTTTTTAAATATGTATGAGAGAAGAACCAGACCAAAATAAAAGTAAAAAAATATTTTAAAAGTCAAAGGGTTGTCAATAAAACTACAATTTTCTTGGTAGACAGGACATGTTCTATCTTGTTTCTTGAACCCAGTATGCAATATGTATTTCAAATAATATTTTCTATACTTTTTGCTATAGTGATTATGTTCGCTCTCAACAGGTATCTTCATGCATTTTCAATAGCCTTATTTACACAGCCGTTTGCTATCAGATAAGTAACACCGATGATCTCCAATCATGCGTCTACACGATCAAAAAAATTAACGGTTGTACCATGAAGTCACGTGATTAGAACTGACCCGAAAAAAAAACATGCATTCCTGCTTGTTTTGAAACCCTTTGTCAAAAAACTTTTAAAATGTATGTAATTGATAAAAATATAAGTTTTCAAATAATAATAATTGTATTCACGCTGCTTATCAACAGCGATGACTCATACAGGTCGAACAGTAGTTAATTTGCATAAAGATCATGCCGATGGTTTCTGTTAACACCACTGCGATGCAGATGTTACTCTATAGATCATCGCTGTTACTAATCCATTATGCGGAGTTGCTAACTCCGTTTACACGACCACCTAAACCCTATGTCAATGGACAAACGCGATCATCACGGTGATCTCCTGCCATGTAAACGAGGCTAATGTAGTTTAAATGGAACAAAACTCTGAGGGTTACTGGGTTGAATCCTACAGCTGACCATAACTGTCTATGCTTCACTACTTCTCTGCTTTTATTATCTTTATATTTTCATAGAACAATAGTTTTGTTTTTTATTTGTATAGTTCATATGTCTAATCAGGTAAACATTTATACCCTGTGCCTGGCGGTAAAGTGCCTTGTCTAAGAACACAAGCAAAATTCACAGGGATACAAACCTTGACTTGACTTGACTCTATTGTGTCTACTTAAACTCCAAATCATAATAAAACAGATCGCTCACCTGTGATTGTACTTTGACATTACTGTCCACTGATCATCATCAATATATGGCTTATCAATGCCTTCCACAATGACCGGTTCAATGGTGAATGCCATCCCTGGCTGCATCAACTCTGGATACATATTCGCTGCAATAAATATCAGTAATATAATTCAGATATTGGCAAACATATTTAATTAGCATTGAGTTAGCTTTGCAATTTCAAAGTGTTAATGGCTCATTCAGTATCTTTCTTCTCCCCTAAGGGTCTCTTTGTGTCCAAGCTACCCCGTAAATTGGTACCAGCTACTCTCGTCTGTTCACAACAGAGGCTGTATGGACCAACAGATCGAAGTAACCTCCTACTCGTCTCAAAACCTGTACTAGGTTCTGAGTAGTCAACCTGAGCCAATTGTGTACACTGTGCCTACAGTTTTTGGTCCTTATCTGAGAAGAAATCAACCACTTTAGTCATAGGCGAGCATGACACTCAAACCTGTACCGATATTATGGTTGTAAGTTACGATGCAACTGCCTTAACTGCTCGGCCATTTTACTCACTTATTGGTTAACACTTAATGGAAAGCCTGAAAAATCTGGATTAACACCCAAGAAGACAACTTCCATTATAATTAACAGGGCACTATGGTGTGATACTGTCACTATAATCAGTGGTTTAACTGTTAATGATAATGGCGATTATATACCAAATTTATTATTTAAATTTACATCATATTAATTTCATATACTCATATAAAAAATATAAACAACTAGAAAATATCACATATCATATACATAAGTTGGACTTTTAAAACATATTTTGACTACTTTGTAGCCTTTGTGAATGAATGAAAAACTATTGAGGTACTCACAACAAAAGTAGTAATAAATGATGTGGAAAATAACTATTAAACAATTGAGCACAACTGTGCTGGGTTTATAGACATATTTGCAATTTGAAAGTAACATAAAATATTGAATGTCATAATGATATGAATTAATTATGATTATATATACATCATTCAAGTTTTTATGAATTTACATACTATATTATGCATTTATAGAGTGTTAACTCACCATGATGGTATATACTAGGTTGACAATGGAACAACCTTCCGATTCCATGGCCCAAGAAAGACGGAGAGACTACGAAACCTGCTTCAGAAGCAACCTTACTACAGAGGGGAAGGTCAATGAAAAAAAAAGAAAAGATAGTTAACTAAATAATTATATTATTAGGTTAAACAAACACAAGATTTGTTTTGCAGTAAACTCACTCTTTGCCTTGCATTCTTTCATCATAACCAATACATTTTATTTATTTATTCATAATATTTCATCAGGGCAGTGCAATCGGTCAAAAAATGAGATAATATAGTAGTAAAAATGTATTAAAAAAAAATTAAAATGGTGGGAGGTGATTTAGTTTCATGAAAATTATTGCTTGCTTGGAAGAGAGCAGAAGAATTTTTTAAACTTCTGAAGACTTTGGCATGTCTCAGGAACCCCTGCCAATAAAACAGCTTCTAATAAAGAACTTCACGTTTCATCCTGTAAGTGGTGAGTTTTCTGTGGATATGTGCATTGGTGGCATGTGTACATGGGTGTGAGTTTGGTTTATGAAGGACTTACTGAATTGTGTTTCCTATTACATTAAGCTTTTGAAGAGGCCCACATTTTTTTATGGCTTCATCTCGACATCTCCTGGCAACATCAACAAGTTTTCTCCCCGTCTCATCAACATTACCAATGCAGTAGGTCTCTGACAGGTCACCATGAAAACCATTATAGAAAGCCTGCAGTAATAACAATTGAATGTTAAAGGTCACTTCAGAAGGATGAAGATGATGATGATGATGATGATGAAGATGAGGACGAGGATGATGATGATGATGATGGTGGTCATGTTGATGATGATGCATTGTTATTTTAGCTCTAAAGGAGTTTTGTACCTAAAAAAGGTACAGAATAATGCCTTTGAATAACTCCTTCAAAATAACAGTAAGAGGATGACAATGTTGATGTAGATGTTGATGATGATTGATTGATTATGATGATAGTCATGATAAGAATAATTGTGATGATGTATATTCATAATATTTAAGCATTTACTGTATATAGCGCTCTTTACTGGAGACCCGCAGCGCTTAAAGTATGAACTATGGAAAAAGGCGAGTTTTAAGAAGAGGTTTGAATTGAGAAAAAGTTGGAGCATAACCGATGATGGTGGCATTATGTTAATGATGATGGTGATAACACGAAAATCACATTAAGGACTATGAGGGTTTAGATGAATTATTATGCTATGATGATGACAATGATAAAGATAGGATGTTGATATTGGAAAGATTATTGTTATTATGACGTGATTATCATATCAATGATGGTGATGATAATAATGGTGATGATGATTGCTGGTGACAGCAAAAAGTTAGGTTCAACAGTTGTTTTTAACACACCGTGAAATCAACATTGATGATATCCCCATCCACTAGAGGGCGCGAGTCTGGAATTCCATGACACATTACATTGTTAACTGAAGTACAGACAGATTTTGGGTACGACCGATACAACAGAGTTGATGGATATGCATTGTAGGATATACAAGTTTCATGAATGACCTCATCTATGTAATCTGTTGTCACGCCAACCTGAAAGATTTTTTTTTGTTTTCCAAGTTAAAAACACAAGGCATTGCTGACAAGATTTTGAAGAAATAACTTCTTTTTTTTTTTTTCCACATAATTGTACAAAATTTTGAACTATATACACTACTAGAAGTTAAACTGTGGATACAAGACATCAAAATACTGTAAATTAGGTTGTGATATTCCAAATAATATTAAAGAAATTTATTGTACATGAAATAAAAATACTGAATAATAACACAGTAACAATAACAAACAATAGCATGTTGATTTTATACAGCAAATAATGGGTAACACCACATCCTGTAATGAAGTTGGATTTATATAGCACTTTATACAGGAGTCTCAAAGTGCTTAAGGTGTAGACTAGCTCGTACAAGTAAGTGTCTCTTCATGTCTGAGCTACCCTGTAAACCGGTACCAGCTACCGCTCGTCTGTCCATAACTTCATCATAAACCTGCCAGTCAGCTGCAGGATGTCCCTTGGACTCTGAAGGGTTTCCATCATTGTATTTTGGTGACTGCGTTCCTCTATGATTTATGGAGAATATTTAGTTGTTTATTTTATTAGTTTCTCTACTTTTTTTCTATTCTAGATCATTACTTATATAAATTTATGGTTTTATTTATATTTTAAATGTTCTTATTTCATTTTTTTTTTTTTTATTCTAGATCATTAACTTTGTCTTATGCTTATAGTGTAAACTGTCATAAACACCAAGTCAAACTGCCACTTAAAAATCTCTCACCTTAAGTTCGGCAGCAGCAACATTTAATATCTTTCTTGCGATTGCACAGACATCCCTCATAGCAGGTATGTCCCCTTTCTCCAAGAAGTTGACGTATCGACTTACTGGTGGAATCGTGCCTGTTCTGACATATTCTGGCCGAATTATATGCTCAGGCACGTTTCGTATTGGACTAACTTCAGCAGGGGTCACATGACTGTATGGAAGATCTTCGATATTTGACCTCAGGTGCTTCAACTTTTCAAAGAAGCTAAACAAGCTACGTTGGTGTAAACCGGTACGCAGAGTCTTTCTGCATTGCGGTGACTGACTTTGAAGAAATTTCTTTACAACAGGATGTCTGATAATGCCTAAAATACATACAAAAAAAATCACTATATTAAATATGCCATTGCTCGATACAGTATACTAAAGAAACAAATTCCTATTCTAATAGTAATAACAATTTTACCAGGGGCTTACCAAAGATTGTAAAGTATAAATGTATAGTGTAAACAGAGAAATAGGCATTAGACTGGTGTAGTTCTACTACTATTTTATCCTTATAATACTGTTCATTTCATGCCTGTGGCTTATCCAAGTATACACATTGATATAAGCCTGGGTGGGTTTTACAAATTGAGTGTGTTGAAAATAGCTTACATTTCCATTTGCTACTTCATTTTCATCCTTCTTTTCACTGTTTCTGCCACAAGATTATGACCAAGTATATTGTCAAACACCCTTTTGTTTTAGAAAAGTCAGTTGTATAAATATACAGTATCAACAAATTTGGTTTACTCTGGAGAATAGCTTTAAATAATAAAATAATAGGCCTAATAGTATAACTTTTTAGAAAGATCTCTTTAACCTCTTTCAAAATAATAATAAACGCTGATGATACAGAAACATTTATTTCAAAAGCGGTCAAAATTTGGATTTCAACACCAGTGACAAGTAGTACTTAAAAGCAAGGACTGAAACAAACAAGTCTGAAACAAGCAGGTCTGAAATGACCTGGGACAAAATTAATTCGGGCCAAAACAACTCAGAACAGAAAAGGCCAGACACCAAATGAGCTGCACCCGAATTGAACCATGACAGAAATCAGGCGTGACCGAGATGAGGCGCAACCAAAAATGAGGCACAAACCCGAAAATTACTCCTGTAACTGTATTCAGGCTCGGCAATTGGCCTATATAATATAGAGTGACGCCTAACAACAAGCTAATTTTCATTAGTAGTAGCAACCTACCTACCTACAATACTACTATCTAGCCTACTAATAGTATAGGCCTAGATAGGCGGGAGCAGGTCAAAACACCAAAATGGCAATGACCAAAACGGCAATAAACCAAACTGGCAATGATAAGTACCAAAACAGCAACCAAAACGGCAATGACAACAATGAAAACGGCAATAGGCATAGACCAAAATGGCAAAGGAGCAAACAATGCCAAGAGAATGATGCGCCACCAGGCGCGGGCAGCAGTTTATAATTTTCTGAATCGTGTTTTGTTTTTTGTTGTTTTTTTTTTTTTTTTTACACATCCATGACTAGGCCTATATTATTTTAAAGTGTTATTTATTATATTATCATCATCATCATCATTATTACCATTATTATCATTATCATTATTATTATAGTGTTTTTTTTTCTTTCGTGCTTTTTTTACTTTTGACATAAAATTTTTAGCCTCATTTTGTCTGTATTTTAAAGTTTTAATTATTTACATGTTTACTGCTTCTATATTGTGATTTTGGTTTATTGCCGTTTTGACTTAGGCCTTGCCTATTGCCGTTTTTTGGTCTTGCCGTTTTAACTTATTGCCGTTTTGACTTATTCCCGTTCTGGTTAAAAAGTGTTGTTGTTTTGGTTTTTTGCCGTTTTGGTCATTGCTGTTTTGACTTATTGCCGATTTGGTTTTTAGCCGTTCTGTACAGAAACCAGATAGGGCCTAGGCCCTAGGCCTGCTTAGCTGGCCTCCATAACTTAATAAGCGGCTTAGTTAGGCCTAGGCCCGGCCGGCCAAACCACACACAACAATTAAGTTAGCCTAGCATTTTCGCTTGCTGAAAGTGTTAAGTGTACAAAGTAAATGAACTGGCAAACATAATATCATCACGATTAAGCATAGCATATCAGATATATCACTGTACAATACACATAACAGAGCTTGTTTACAATCAGCAGACAACTACCTACCAAGGCACTTTCGCACTATGGAAGCTGCCATCTTGTTGACCGACGACCTGAGGATAATGCATTATTGAGGGCGCTATATCAGTTTGATGCTGTATCAGCCTTGTGAAGTACAGTACTGTACAGTACCTTCAAAATAGTGGAAAACTTCATTTAATTGATGGTCCGACCCGGAAATGTCTCTCAATATTGATTTAAATCTCGTTTAGTAAAGTTGCTTCTCTTACTAGTGACTGATTTAGGAAGTGCATTACTACCATCAAGAAAAATAATCTCAGTCTCTGCTTTGTTCTGTTGAATGTATCTTTCCGAGGCTATGCCACCCTGGGATATTTTATAATTCTGCTATATTTTCCTTTTGTAAATCAGTATAGGAAAATGTTTCAAAAGTGAGAGATATTGCCATTGCTAGTTAGTACATTATAGGTTTCACAAATTACTCCCAATAAAAATAAAGAAAACCTACCAAATCTGGAATAGCTGTTTAATTATGTATCAAATATGATATTAACTTCGATCCAGAATCAGATTTTAAAAAAATAATAATAAAAATAATAAATAAATAAAAATCACCGATTTTCAGACATTTTACTACTTTAAACACCTTAAATTGATTACCAGCCAATTATGGAGTCTATGTAAAACGATAAAGGTATTATTTAGTTGTTTTTCTCATTCAATTTTGTGATTGTAAGTTATTAAGTTAATATTTTTTTTACCATATTTATAGAGGGTACCTTTCAGTATATGTGTTTGTATCCGTTTGGTTGTCCTCAACTTTCCCCCTTTGTCCATCATGTTTTAATTGTATACGAGATTTTATTTTCTGTAGATTCTTATTTTGTAATTTTTAATGTTCAACTTTAATTTGTACCGTACTGTATAAGATCAAATTGCAATAAAGTATTATCGTATCGTAGTGTATCCTAGAAGGTCAGCCGATATTCAGGGCCCTTTTAAATAAATGAAATAATGTGATGCTTTTATCAGCAAAGTCACTCTATGAGGCTTAGGGAGTAGAGTTGTTTTTAGTCGTGAGAAAAAGTCCTACTGTTACAGGAATTGAACCCAGGACCATGGGCTTAGAAGGCAAGCATCTTAATCACTAAGCTATTTAACTCCATGATTAGATATATGTACTTTTATTTATTTTATTGATTTCTTTTTTATCCTGGGTGACCTGATCAGTGCAAAAGCATTGTTATCCTCCAGGGCCCAGCAACACATAAAATACAATCAAATGACAAAAATCAATAAAGGCTATAGAAATTAAAAATGTAAGAAGGATATATTAATAATGATGATGATGATGATGGTGATGATGATGATGATAATGATAATAATAATAATAATAATAATAATAATAATAATAATAATAATAATAATAATAATAATAATAATAATAATAATGATGATGATGATGATGATGATGATGATGATGATGATGATGATGATTTTATTCCTTTATTTTATGACTGGCAGATATTTTTCCTATAGGCCTATCCGTGCTTGTTGGTTTCTGCAGTTCATGGCCCAATTATTTTACTAAAGTATACTTGTTATGGCTACTATATACCGTAATATAAATGAAGTGTATTGTCAGATTCGCGTTATTTTATAATTATTAATTTCTATTCTATCTGTTGAGAAAAATGTGGGCATATTTATTGCCTTTTTTTGGCTAAAGTGGAAGTTTTATGTCTTAACTAGGAATACAATAGAATGACAGTAAGTGCAATATTTTTTTCGAGATACTATAGCACAAGTGCCAAAAATATATAATTTTTTTTAAATGGCATGCGCAAAAATCAAGAAATATTACCAATTGGGAATTATTTTTTCTTAAGAAGTGATTGACAATCAATGAAATTTAAAAATCGAACGTTAGGACGCGGGGACACAAGAATAGAGGTTTGAAGTAATTATTGTTTGCGAACTGTCACCGATGATAAGATTAAGGAAACGCCATCGATGGTTCGTGTATTGGTTACTAAGCAACACCACAACAGAGAAGGGAACATCGGCAGCCAATTCATGACGTCATCTAATTGACTTGATGATGATGTTCGCTTTACTTTTTTAGGTCGCATGCTTGGAGGAGTACAAACAAAAGTGTATTATTAGATGAAAAGACTGTTAAGTGGCGTGTAAAGGTAGGTTAGTTGTAATTGTAAAGTTTGTAAGAAAATTAATTTTAACGTTTATATTTTTAAAGCTTTTTCCGTTGTTTAAATTATTAATTTGTACATGCAACAGACCCTCTACCCTCTCAATCTATCTAGGATAGGAGGAGGCCTAGCCTAGGCCTAGGCCTAGTCTAGCCTACCTAGCCTAGGCATACCTAGGCTGACCTTATACTTATACTTTAGTTAGTAGGCCTATCCAACTAGTAGGCTAGTAGGTAGGGCCTAGGGTAGAAAGCTTACCTGGCTAGTCATAGCCTAGGGCCTAGGCCTAGCTAGAGAGAGGCTAACTAGGGGCTAGGCTACTAGATAGTAGTGTATGTATGTAGTGTAGGGGTCTAGCCTAAGCCTGTTGACCCTTCTGGGACCGAGATTATTAGGCGCAGCAGTAGTAGTAGTAGTAGTAGTAGCCTAGGCAGGGCAGGGCATACTTAGCCTAGACTTATATAGTAATCTAACGAAAACGGCAATATATACCAAAACGGCAATAACAAAAACGGCAATAAGTCAAAACAGTGCGTATTAATACCAAAACGGCAATAAACCAAATAAATAAATAAAACATGAAAATATAGACAAGAATGAGGCTACAACAACTTATGTCATAGAAGTAAAAAATGCAAAAAACATTGATAATAGTAATGAAAATAATACTAACAGGCCTAATAACAATATAACAACATACAAATTCAATAATAGAAAGATTAGGGGAAACACATGGAGCATATCATTTAATTACTTATAATTAAGCATACAACATTCATACATATCTAGGTATGAATGAGAACACCAATTTACCTTTTGTAATGGCAAATTGCTTGGTGAGTCCCATTTCAAACCACACACAATTCAGGTAGTTCTATTTTGTATAGTCATATCCTTTTTAGGGAAGTTCGACTACAGTTTCTTCAGGTTACATTATATTATAAGTCTGGAATGATATTAAATAGCATTTGCAATATTTTTCAAAATATGTACATGTATATCATTGCTTTGGTCGTCTTTGTGAAGGCGCTATATGAATGCTTTTTAATAATAATATTAGATTAATAATATCTTGCTATGAATTTTAACTATGTTTTTTATTTCATTGATATTTACAGTCCTGATACTGACAGTAACTATAATTAAAAATGTACCAAAAATAAGATTTAGGTACATTGTTATTAGTCCTATTGTACAGTACTGGTCTACAGTATACAGTATATTGATCCCAATAGAAATAAGTCATTTTCTGGATTTTTAAAATGTTTCTGCTTGAAGTACTGGTTGTAGATATGGTCTTCTTTTTTTTTTCCAAAAAATAAAATAAAAAAACAATTTTTTAACGTCTTTGCCAAGATACCAATTTTATGTCATAATTTAGTATATCTCTTTGATAGGTTTGAAGGTTCCAAGATTTCTTCACTTCACAACCATGAAATTTATCAGAAAGATGTTTCCAAGATGATAGAACAGGAGAACTTCTTTCTCTCCTACCCATTCAACTCAAAATCAATAAGACCTCGTAAACGTCTAGAGGCATCTAAGATGGCACTCTCCAGTCGGTCTATAGATGAAGCTGTTTCACAACAGCACCGAGATATTGTAGACAACAAATACCAGGAACTGCGACGGCCAAGGAAAATTTTCTTTTATCGTAACGGTGATAGGTATTTCAAAGGTAAACAATTATACATAACACCTCACCGGTATTTATCGTTTGATGAACTGCTTGTAGATCTCACAAAATCTGTCTCATTACCGTACGGCGTTCGTAAGGTTTATACGCAAGATGGTGTGCTTATTAGAGACATAGAAGACTTAAAAGATGGCGGAACCTATGTTTGTGCCTCATTTGAAAGATTCAAGAAACTAAAATATGGGAAATACAATAACCCAGGTTTTGCTGTACCAAGTAAGTATCATTATTTTTTTCAGAATAAATGATCTTTTTAAATAAAGCTATAAAAGACCAAAAGCTTAGTTAGCACTCAGTCACATTTAGTGTTTGCGTAGTGTTGCTCAGAAACAAAGAAGTGACGCATTGAAAAATGTAAATTGTCATTGCATAACATGCAAATCATGATATGTACATTGTTGGTGCCCTGCAGCTCCCCTCCCCTCCTTTGGACAGGCCTGGACCCCCTGCCCGCACATTGGTGAGGTCATCGGACAAAAAATATCCTATACAGTAATAAAAAACATTATTTTGATTGCCAATCTCTAATATTGTAGTTCAAAAGCACAATTTTAGGCAACACTAACTTATAAGCCATAAAAGCTCTCCCCATGAACCCTTCCAGGAATTTTGATTCCGAGACCCTGATTGATGCTGTAATTGGTCCCTTGGTTTCGGACTCTGCTTTCGGACATGTCAGAGATCTTGTCGCAAATTTCTGGAGCCACCACCTTGTATAATATCATCTTCATATAATTTCATTTTTTAGCAGTTTGATTTAAAAGATTGGTTTCAATATTTGACTACTGCAATATCTATAAGAATCAAGTTCAACCATTTCCAAGTATTGCATTATGGTACGTAGCTTATAAAAATTGCAGCCCATATGATTGCATGCCTTGACCTATTGCATGCTGAAATCTAAAGTGCTTATTGCATTTAATGTTTAAACAAGACAGTATCTGTGTCATTGTAGTTATGGCATGATGTAAGTACTCTTCAGTGAAGGTTAGTAATTATTTTAAGAAGAAGCGGAGGATTATATTGATTTGAGAATAAAGTATATGATGAGGAAGATGAGAAGAAAGAGGAAATAATTTTAGACACAGATGTACTGTATGAAAGGTTAGTGAAGATGAAAATGATGACAATAATTAACAAAGATGAAAACATAAAAGGTGTTGATGATGAAAAAAGCTGAGAATAAAAAGGCTGCAAAAAATGTTTTAAAATCTAGATAAAAAATATATTATAGTTTAAAAGAAAAAAAAAACAACTATGCTGTGAGAAACAATGGCTGGATCATGGTAGAAGTAAAAATTTGACAAGTAACAGCTAAAATGTATTGAAGTGAAGTGTCAAAATAAGAACCAGAGCTCTTGGACAACACAAATAGTGCTTCCTCAGTAGTGAGGAAATGAGGGGAGGGTAGAAAATTATCAGATAGCTGTGAAGACAGTGACACTAACAACAGTCAGGCAAGAATGGTTAGAAACATTGGGTGAGTGAGATTACAGTAGGCTAGAAACTAGAAGTAAGATGACAATGAGAAAGGAAACAATGTACAGTATACAGTATTTAGTATTCTGAATATAATATGTCATTTATTTCATCCTATCCTAAATAGTTGTGCTAATTTTTAATTGTATCAGACTTTATAAGTTTAATGTTAAAAAAAAGTAAATATGCAGGTATGAGTTTGCATAAAATAAAATTGAGATTTACAGTAGAAACCAAATTTGTAATAATAATATTCCCAGTCTTCTGGCAATTACTGTACTGTTATTGTGTTGATGATCAATTTATGTAAAACTTGGTTAGAGGAAGATGTTACATCAATACTACCACAAAAGATGGTCCTTTAATGGTATTGACTAATGAGATTTTACCAACCAAGTCGTAACATCATCCATGAGGTAGTTTAACAAGTACTCTATGTTAATTTTTAAGAAAAATTATTCTGTTGAATTGTTTATTACCCCTTGAAGAAAGGTGTCTACGATTAATTTTACTTTTTATTTCATTTGGTAAAAAAATAATAGATCTAGTTTTTTTTTGCTTACATTGTCTTGTTTTAGATACAAATAAAAGCTACTCTATTGTCTTAAAGTTGAAACATGTTTTGGCACAAGTAGGTTTAGTAGGCAATAATTTTTAATACTATACATGCCTGTGCTAAGTATAACTTTGTCCACTGGATACATTATCATACAGTGCACCCTCTAATTCCGAGACCTCTCTGATTTGAGACCACTTTTCCAAAGACCTAAATAACAATCTTTAATCTTTTAACACAAAGCTAGCCCTGTAATTGGAGACCAACCCTGAGACCACCCTAAATTTTCAGGTCCCAAATGTGGTCTCGAATTAGAGGGCGAACTGTAATAATAATGTAAGTTTTATATTAAATACTTGCGGTACACCACGTAGATAGTTCTGAAAAGAATTGTTCTTTTCAGAAGTATCAACGTGGTGTACCGCAAGCATTTATTACCTCGCTATACAAACCTTCAAATAACGCGCATAATTTTTGAATTGTTTAACTAAATCAAATAATTGAAAACTTCTTTCATCACTTTTTAAAACGTTACTCTGAAATCTCAATATCTTTAATAAAAATAATTTGAACATTTTGAGTCTTGACTTTTTAGGTAAAGGTTAAAGGTACTGTAGGTTTGAGTTATAACTTTTCAATGTTGTCATTTATATTTGATGTTTGACTTTAAACAAAATGTGCAATTGTACCAATTTGATAGATGATCATTACACAAGATCATGTCAACAAATATCGAAGAAATTCTCTATAGATGGAAAGGTCACCACTTCAGTGTTTCTGATTTGTTTTGTGTACTTGGTGATGGTTGCTTAACAACAATGGTGTCCAGGAAGAAAGGAAAGACATCCTACAACATTTTGGAATGTATTTGACTGTAGATGTTGTAAATCAGAATTATTAATGTCCTTTAAATCAAAACAATATTGTTTCTAGAGCCCATATGTTATGGTGGGAGTCATTTATAAAGGATAAACTTTTACTTAATTTTACTATAGTACCTCTCTGATAACGGCATAAAATATCTAATATGTTACCTACAACTAGATAATTATTCTGAGAACATGCAGATTAAAAGAAGAATATTTCATACTTACAGTACTTTTAAGGGGTTTGTATTTTACAATGAACTATTGACCAAAAATTTTATTGGAGGGTAAAATTGTTATCCTATTCAATGCTGAAGGAATCTGCGTACATTCGTTACTATACTTTGACACATTGTTGTACAGTAATTATCTGAAAACATAGATAAAGTAAAGGGTACATATTTGACATAAAAATATGAACCCAAGATTTATTTTCTGTGTCTCTAAACATAAATATTATTTACTGATACATTATTATTTTATAATTATCTAAAAACATAACAAATATAAAGAGGTCCATATATTTGACAGTAAAACACCATACCATAATATTTTCAGACAACATAATAAGATATAAAGGATAGTACGCTTTTTACATGGCGGTCCATAATTGACAGGAATTGTACCGTATTTACCATATTTGTTTTTTGTTGTTGTTGTTGCTATGGTGATATAGAAAACTTTAGGTTTTTATGTTATTGTAAACTAAACCTCCAGATTGAATATTTTTTCATGGTATTGATTTTACCATCATATCAAGCAAATACACTAATTTAATATGTTTGCTTAAAGCCCCATTTCTGTCAAAATTTCAGTTGTTTACATATGTTATAAAGATATATAAATGTAATACAAAATTGCTAGTTTAACTGAATTTAGAAAAAAAATATGAAAAAAACGTAAAATAAGACTAAAATTTGATTTTTTTTTTTGTTGAACACAAAAAATAAATGCACCAGATGAATTTTTTTATGTTTGATTTTACAATAGGTCTGCAAAGAAATATAGCAGGTGCCGGAAACATTAGCCAGTATCAACACTGCTAGGCTAGGCCTAGCCTTGCCTCTATTTCGGTTCTGTTATCAGACGTATAAACAGCTTACATGATATTTTCCGTTGCTAGTATTGACACTTGTGTTCTTTAAATATGTCATTTGAGTTATTTCAAATTTGTTAAACAAATGATTCTGACCGAGATTTTTGACAATTAATCAAACATATCTCAGGCCTACTCGATCAACTGCAACGTGCGAGATGCGAAGTACAAAATCTAATCTCATTAGAGAGGGTGCATTTTATTGACATTATAAAGTATCACAAAAGCAAGAGCATTCCTCTGAATTTGCCTAGTAAACTAGAATTATTCTCTGTTTCTCATTTTGTTTTATCCTCTTGCGTAAAACTAAACTTTATGCCAATATTTTTCCATGGTTTATGATAATTAGAGTAATGCATATGCATTTTTTCTAAAAATGTTCTTTTTTTAGTGAAATTTTGCTGGGAATGGGACTTTCATTTCTGCAAATCAGCATTTATAGTATATATACTTATGTATAGTATATACTTATATAGTACTTACTGTATGTGATATGTTTATCTCTGTATTCTCACCATCTATAACTATATCTACCCATTCACCCACCTCCCTGTCAGACTACATGTCCATATGTATCCACATCTATTTATCTATTCTATACTAATATACTGTTTCATGTCTGTTCATTTTGTCCTTGTAATCTTGTATATGGAAAATTTAATAATTAATTTTTTTTCTTTGTACTGTTATTTTGAACAAGGTCCAGTTATTCTATAACTAAGTCTCATAATGAGATTTAGGGAGTGGAGATGTTTTTAGTTGTGAAAAAAATTCTGCTGTCCCAGGAATTGATTGGAAGGCAAGGATCTTAACCACCAAGCTATTAAACTCCAATCCAAATTCAAGACTAATTGATTTTTTGGGGCTTTACACAGATCATTTAACAATCTAGACATCTATTAAGAATTTATAGATTAATTTTTTTTGTGAAGTAAATTAGTTTATTAATCTGCAATTAACCAAACTAATATAATTATATTTTCCCTATTATTATGTAGATTGTAAAGTTTATCCTCACTTTTTTACATTTCCAACAAATCAAAATATAAAATTTAAAAATACTTTTTATTTCCATTAAGAAGCACTGCACCTTGGAATAGGTGCTAAAATAGTTGGAGCATTATAAATAAGTGCTTTATTATTATTATTATTATTATTATTATTATTATTATTATTATTATTATTATTATTATTATTATTCATTAAGCTAGCTCCATCTACACTGTCAAATTTTCTTTGACAAAATTTGTTTTACTATTATAGTCATGGTATGCCTATATATGGTCATAATATGATGTAATCATGACCACATTTACTGTAGGCATATCACATAATGTTGTCAAATAAAATAATTTGACCAATTATCATAAATATGAACACCTGAGATAAAAAACCAAGGCAAACTAGTTAGAAACAAATGGTAGGACCTCACCTGGTTGATTCGATTAGTAATTGAAATACGAGTAATTTAGCACTGTCATGGAAACCAAGGCTTGTCTTACTGTTATTGATTTGCAAAAAGTCAGCGATGGGAATCCTATATGTAACATTCCATCGGTGGTGATAATCAATTGAATTATTTTTGTACAGAATGCTAGTTAAGAAAATGCAAATAATAAATGATTTAATAATGTGTGGGTGAAAATTGTTGTTACTTTATGAAATTGGGTATGATACAAACTTCAAAAAGCGTGTTGCAATCCATTGTGATTCAATCTGCCTTTTATTCAATTTGTATTGTAAAAATAGACTGCAGAGACAAGCACATTTGGATATTTATGCTGTTCCTTGGGTTTTTATATTTCCTTCCAAATTCACTTCCTTCAAAATCACATGTTCAGTTTGATCAATCAATATTTTTTTTAACTGGATTACCTTTTTTTATTTCAAACTCTGTTCTTCTTTTGAAATGAACTTGTGCACAGTGTAATTTGCTTTTAAAAGAAATTGCCCTTTTTTTAAACATTAACATTGAAATTATTATACATAGGAAGATGTGTATCATAATGGGCTATTTAAATAAAAATGATAACTCATGATAACTTTAAGTAATGAGGAAAAATGTGTTTTCTGATTACAAAAGATTCATGGAAAAATGGGTGTATTTTGATTAGCTGTCAGTCACTAGTATTGCTATAGATAAAGTCTTGCTATTAATATTACATGAAATGCTGATGTCAATATCTATTACTGTAACTTTCATTCGCAAACAGCTCTTTTGTTATAGGCCAGTGATGTTCAGAGGGTTGCGTCACATGTCAATGAAAATCTGTAGTTATTATTTTTCTAGCTATGTTATCAAAGGAACTATGAATGATGGAGAAATGAATTATTTATTTTTATTTGAACCATATAGTGTGAATTAAATTACCGTATGATGTGTTATGGTGCTTCTACAGTGTGATACTATAGATATAATTTCATGCACAAGTCATTATCTCATCTATTTTTCTGAAAATCTGTTTTCTATAAAAATTTTACAGTAAGTTAAAAATTAATGTTTCTAACTAAAAATTATGTTTCTAGCTATGTTATCAAAGGAACTAGAAATTTTTGGAGAAATGAATTATTTATTTTTATTTGAAATATAGTTAAATAATGATGTATTAAGGTGCTTCTAAAATATGATACTGTAGATATAATTTCATGCACAAGTCATTATCTCATCTATTTTCTGAAAATCTGTTTTCTATAAAAAATCTACAGTAAGTTAAAAATTAAAGCATATGACTATTTATCTTCAACATTAGTCAGTGTTTTCTTTACTAATTGGTCTGCTTGTATAGTACCAGTGGATACATTTTGTTTATTACAGTGTATCTGTGTATCAGATTTTTACAAGCTGTATTGTTGTGTCTGACTCTGATTTTGTTCGCCAACACTTAATTTGGCTACAATCATTGGACAAATTAGGCCATTCTGTAGGGTCAGGATTAAAGTGTGGAGGATAATGGCGTTGTTAGGTTAAACTTTATGTTGTGATGACCCGGGTGATTGTGTAAATAATAAGTTTCTGCGGATACGTCTAGGTGAGGAGAAGAATGTGATGACATCATTGTCTTTTTAACAGGTGTTTAACAAAGTAAGCTTCTTATTGAGGTTAGTTGTTAATACTGTACTCTAAATGTTGGAACATTCCATTTGTCATCTGCAGAAAATTTTCTGAATTTTACACTCTGTAATTAAAAAAAAGTGTTAAATATATATCAGGATTTTAATCAATTTCTTATTAAATTTATTATTTCTTGAAAGATTAGATTCATAAAATGTTTTCTTTTTTATTGTTGGCATGTTTTTTATTTTAATAAAATTTATATGTGCAAACCTTGATCGGAATGGAATTGCCCTATTTTGATTGAACAAAAGTAGGTAAATTTGTTTTAATGATTCAATTATTTGGTTGCGATGGGAACACTTCTACTGTACAGTAAAAATCAAGATCTTTAGTTATGATTTTGATGGAGTAGATAAATTAGCCAAAATGGAGGCCTTATTAATCAAGTAAAGTATGGAGTTATCAAGATCGTAGGATTTTTTAAAGATTGGCCGCATTGTTTTTTATTTGCAAAATGTCCCCGTTACGGTCAGAATATCAACAGGCTTACGGTTACCGCAAACCGATTAAAGCCAATGGCTTGTACTTTAAGAAATATGTGTGGGGAAGGAAGCGTAAGTTATTATATTATTTGTGATTCCAATGACGCTTTTTAATTATTTTTTAATATAGAAATTATTTTGTGTTACAGTATTTCATCCTTTTTTCAGTACGAAACATACATTCATAAAGCATGCAAGCTTAGTTGTATTTATCAGTTAATTAATAGTATCCAGAAATATTGTAAACCTGTTTATTAATAGTATTCAGTTCTATCAAACTTCAGAAGCTATTACTAATTAATATTATTTTTTATTATATTTTAAACAATAAGACTTACTGACTTACAGACTCACTGTACTGTAAGTCTAAAAAATTGCTGATTTTCAGGGGCCTGTCTTAAGAAAATATAATACTTTTTACAAGATTTGTGTGTAAACAGTTAAATCAATTGAATAAGCAAACACAGTTCAATGTACTGACAATTAAATAAGATCAATAGTAAAACAACTGTTCTTTTTCTTTATGTATAATATGATTGTTGTAAAAAATTAATTTGCATTAGGCTTACTATTACAAGGTCCTGATGTGCTTTCAAACAAAATGAAAATACATATACATTTACAGTACATCTAGTGGATTCCAGTTTTAATCACTTATCACCATGTAGCATTATTAAGTTGATACGAATATGCTACATTAGAGAAACAGTAACATAAACAATTGTTTGTGGTAAAAGTGTACTAGTAAACTGTCTACTTTATTGTATTGACTGTATCAAAATCTAATATATTTCTTTTTGAATTTCAGAAGTCCGGCCTAGATATGAAAGTCACTTGTACAACACTTTCCCACCAACTGGCTCAAGTCAACATTTTAGTCAAGCTAGAGGCGGATTTATTTACCCATCACATGGCAAATACGCTGCTGCTTATGGTAAAACAGCGGGAACATTTGGTCAGGGGCATGCAGGCCCCGGATCCTTCCAGTATTCAGGAGGGCGGCCAGGTGCTTCCTTAAAGCCTGTTTCAAAGACTGTCGGCATTATACACTCTGATGTTAGTCCAGTAAAACCTCGCATTGTTAAAATAGTTAAAAATGGCGAACGGCCACGGAAAACAGTATCACTTCTTTTGAACAAACGTAGTGTGCAATCGTTTGAACATCTTGTTCTTGACATATCCGATGCTCTTGGTCTTCCTAAGTACAAAAACAACCGAATCAGGAAACTTTATAACTTAAAAGGACGTGAAATTCGAGGACTTGTGGATTTTTTTCGAGAAGATGAGGTGTTTATAGCTTCGTCTTCTAAACATCCACTGAGTGATGAGGATATTGCCGATATTTACGAAGAATTGTACCCTAACAATCCATATGCCCAAAAATATCCGAAGAAAGGGACGAAAGATCGAGAGTCTAAAACAGACAGTGGATTTGGTGATGATGAAGAGAAAGCAGAGCAGGAGAGAATTTTAAGGAAGAAAGAAAATGCAAAGAAACTTGAAAAAGAGAGGGATAAAGCAAAGAAGGAAGAGCGTCTAAAAGCTGCCAAGTGGGAAAAACAGCGGCGAGAAGAGGAAGAAGATGAAGAGTTCCTAGATGATGAAATGCAGCGAATGAGGGATGAAAATGAGTGGAGAATGCAACAGGAACTAGAAAGAGAAAGAATAAATAAAGAAAAGGAAGCAGAATTAGAAAGAAAAGAAAGAGAGTTGAAGAAGATGGAGCAAGAACTCCAGAGGAAGTTGGAAAACAACCAGAAACAGAAAGAAGCAGAACTATTAGCAGCTCTTGCTGCAAGAGAAGCAGAAATCCAAGCAAGAGAAAAGGAACTTAAAGAAGAGGAAGAGCGAAGAAAGGCAGAACGTAAAAAACAAGAAAAAGAAGATGAAGAAAGGAAGAAAGCTGAGAAAAAAAGGCGAGAGGAAGAAGAAGAAAGAAGGAAAAAGGAAGAAGAAAGGCGGAAGAAGGAAGAAGAAGATAGACAGAAGAAGAAAGAGGAAGAAGAAAGACGGAAGATGGAAGAAGAAAAACGGAAGAGGGAGGAAGCAGAAAGACAGAAGGCGGAAGAAGAAAGACAGAAAGCTGAAGAAGAAAGACGGAAGGCAGAAGAAGAGAGAAGAAGGAAAGAAGAAGATGAAAGAAAAAAAGAAGAGAAAATAAGAAAAGATGAGGAAAACGCTGCAGAGGAAAAGAGGAAACAAGAAGAAGCAGAAAAACAAAAGACTGATAACGAAAATGAAAAAGATAAATTCGCAAAAGGAAAAGGAGATCAGAATAAGAAAGGTGGAAAGAAAAAAAAGAAAGATCAAGATAACAAATACGCATCAGATCCGAGAGCTATAAAGAAACGTGATGATATTGAAAAGCGTTACAAAATTGGAAAAAAGATTGGCGACGGTAACTTCGCTGATGTTCATGTGGCAGAGCTGATAAATACAGATCAAGAATTTGCAATGAAAATTGTTGATAAATCCAAGTTGAAAGGAAAAGAGCAGATGATAGAAAACGAAATTGGCATAATGAAAAACGTAAAACACGCGAACATTGTACGTCTGTTTGAGGAGCATGAAACTAAGGAGAATATCTTCTTAGTGATGGAATACGTGAAAGGTGGAGATTTGTTTGATGCAATTACAGAGAGTGTAAAGTTCACAGAAGCGAATGCAGCATTGATGGTCAGTGACCTCTCTAATGCTTTAGACTATCTTCATGGCTTGAACATCGTGCATCGAGATTTAAAGCCTGAAAATTTATTGGTAAGAATTTTTCCTTTGTAAATTTTTAAAAGTATATAGTTTTGATTATCGCTGAAGTAATCTAAATATATATATAATATAATCTAAATTATATTCTATAAAGGAATTAGTTTTGTTAAATTTCAATAACCGATGTCAACCCAAATATAATTGGCTTTCTTGACTTAATAATTTAATAAATGAGAAATAAGTTACTACTGTATGTCATACATAATTTACTATGTCATATATACAGTACTCATCAAAAAAATTTGATTGAGGAAAAAAAGTATCACCTGCATTTACCAATGTATTGAGGCCAACAATGAGGGTTTGCTGGGACATAGATCTCACACGTATAGTAAGCTATGATGATACCCATGTACATAGTCTGGGGGATGCAGGGGGTTTGGATGCACCCCTTGCCCCATGGCAACAAATTAGTTCCAACGAGTTAAAATACTGAAAATAACCATAATTTTTCAATTTTCGTACCCCCAAACTCTGCATTTTTAATTTTTGCAAACTCCGACCCCCCACCCCCCGGGATGAAACAAGCCTAGGGCTACGCCCCATATACTGTACTCATGGTACCTAACTAGTCTAATGTAAATACAGTAATTAAAGAGTTTCTGCCTTGAATAAGCACAGCAGCACTGCTCTCAATAAGCAAAACACTCAAATAGGCTCCACTCTCATGTAAGCTCCACTCAGCTCTCCAAATAAGCACGCACAAATGAGCACTGCTTTTATATTTTTGTTATATATAGTTGTAAAATCTATTTCACTTTTCCTCTTTTCTTTCTCTTATCTAAATCATCTTCTTCGGTAAATAGATGTCTAAAACTTTGGTAAGTCGAAACAAATGCTTTCATTTTTCTAACCATTGCTTCATAATTACTAATTATTCCTGTTGCAGCCTCTGAAATCTAACATTATATTGAAATAACAGTGTTTTATCATTTTGAGGGTAGGCTATAAACGAATGCATGTCAAGACAAACAATTTATTTTTAATGTACATACATTAACAACTTTTAGGGTTTAGATCATGGATAGTCGTGGTAACTTATTATACCACAAATTGTCTTCAACGGTAAACAGATGTAAATTGCAACAATGCTGTTTTATTGTCAAACCATTTTTCCATTTTTTTTTGCAAAGTTAACAGCAAAATATAAATGGAAAACAAATTTAACATACAGAAAATACATACAGTATCTTTTCTAATATGTCAAATAAAAAATAGGTGAAATATCATTCATTGCAATCTGGTGGTGGAAATAACCAAACACTTCCATGAAATACCACTAAAAGTTTACCACAAAAGTTAATTTTAAAATCATAATAATTAATATAAATAGGAAAAACATTACAAGAACATTTATAGGGGGTAGGCTGTGGATTATCAGAATAAACAATTGGATAGCAAAATACTTTATTGTCATATTCATAAATCAAAATAGCATTTTCATGCTTTTTATTGCTTGCATTGCATTTCACTATTCATTTTAAAATGATCACGTTAATATAAAAAATTCAAGAGATATTAAACTGTTCAGGTGATCCCTGATGCTGTACCATTTTTAAAAATTCATTTATCATATTTTAAAACATGTTAATACTATATAGTATAGTACATCATTTTTGGAAATAAATTAAAAATTGAAAATAAAAATATTTCAAAGTCCATTTCACATACATTTTAAAATGTTTTATGTTTTTTTTAAATTAAAATCTATCTTTCCCATTCTTAAATTCATCTTGTGACATTTTTGCCTTCCTCTGTGTTGATCTTCTATATTTCAATCTTTTTTCCACAACACTTAGAAAAATATTGTATGTTCTTTATAATGATAGTGTTCAGTGATGGATCCAGGAATTGGCAGGGTCTGGGCAGGGAAATTACTACTTCAGACCCACCATGGCTTGGGCTGTGGTATGAAGTTTTATGTCTATAGCTCAAGATGGCCGGAAATGTATCTCTGAAGCTTAAGTTTGCATGATATTTTCTTTCCCTATTCCCCCTCCCCCTTTTTTTTTATTTAGGGGGTGGGGACTGAGCTGGTTGGGTCCCTTTGAATCTGTCTCTGGTGCCATCATGAACTCTCTACTTCCTCATTAGCTTATCCTAATCCATATCATGCTTTTACCATAAATGCTAATGCTTCTTATTACAGTATTTGCTTCATATCAACTAATAATTAAAAGATGTTATGCATTTCTAAAATTAATTTTGAGTTTGTTTTTTTAATTTTAAAAGATTTTTTAAAATCTTAAATTACTGTCCAGTTCAAAATATAAGCTGTCTCTTATCTAAATCATCTTCTTTGGTAAATAGATGTCTAAAACTTTGGTAAGTCAAAACAAATGCTTTCATTTTTCTAACCATTGCTTCATAATTACAAATTATTCCTGTTGCAGCCTCTGAAATCTAACATTATATTGAAATAACAGTGTTTTATCATTTTGAGGGTAGGCTATAAATGAATGCATGTCAAGACAAACAATTTATTTTTAATGTACATACTGTACATTAACAACTTTTAGGGTTTAGATCATGGATAGTCGTGGTAACTTAATATACCACTTATCTTCAACGGTAAACAGATGTAAATTGCAACAATGCTGTTTTATTGTCAAACCATTTTTCCATTTTTTTTTCGCAAAATTAACAGCAAAATATAAATGGAAAACAAATCTAAGATACAGAAAATACATACAGTATCTTTTCTAATGTCAAATAAAAAATGGGTGAAATATCATTCATTGCAATCTGTATTTGGTGGAAATAACCAAACACTTCCATGAAATACCACTAAAAGTTTACCACAAAAGTTAATTTTAAAATCATAATAATTAATATAAATAGGAAAAACATTACAAGAACATTTATAGGGGGGTAGGCTGTGGATTATCAGAATTAACAATTGGATAGCAAAATACTTTATTGTCATATTCATAAATCAAAATAGCATTTTCATGCTTTCTATTGCTTGCATTGCATTTCACTATTCATTTTAAAATGATCACGTTTTCATGCTTTCTATTGCTTGCATTGCATTTCACTATTCATTTTAAAATGATCACGTTAATATAAAAAATTCAAGAGATATTAAACTGTTCAGGTGATCCCTGATGCTGTACCATTTTTAAAAATCCATTTATCATATTTTAGAACATGTTGTTAATACTATATAGTATAGTACATCATTTTTGGAAATTAAAAATTGAAAATAAGAATATTTCAAAGTCCATTTCACATACATTTTAAAATGTTTTATGTTTTTTTTTAAATTAAAATCTATCTTTCCCATTCTTAAATTCATTATTTCATCTTGTGACATTTTTGCCTTCCTCTGTGTTGATCTTCTATATTTCAATCTTTTTTCCACAACACTTAGAAAAATATTGTTTGTTCTTTATAATGATAGTGTTCAGTGATGGATCCAGGAATTGGCAGGGTCTGGGCAGGGAAATTACTACTTCAGACCCACCATGGCTTGGGCTGTGGTATGAAGTTTTATGTCTATAGCTCAAGATGGCCGGAAATGTATCTCTGAAGCTTAAGTTTGCATGATATTTTCTTTCCCTATTCCCCCTCCCCCTTTTTTTTTATTTAGGGGGTGGGGACTGAGCTGGTTGGGTCCCTTTGAATCTGTCTCTGGTGCCATCATGAACTCTCTACTTCCTCATTAGCTTATCCTAATCCATATCATGCTTTTACCATAAATGCTAATGCTTCTTATTACAGTATTTGCTTCATATCAACTAATAATTAAAAGATGTTATGCATTTCTAAAATTAATTTTGAGTTTGTTTTTTTAATTTTAAAAGATTTTTTAAAATCTTAAATTACTGTCCAGTTCAAAATATAAGCTGTGATAGTACATTTATAGACATAATTTAAAACAGGTCTTGCATTTTTTACTGATTTCCTGTAGCTTGTAAACCATAGATTGTTTGGTATGTATAACACATAGCATTGCTCTGTTTGCCCCAGGTTATAAGTTAGTATCAAAGAGTATTGCAAGAGGTCCGTCTGCCCTGATTTTGTATGCATGCAATGGAATGTTAAAGAAAGTACTGCCTCAAGATATGGGGTGCCCTATTCAAAAAGGGTTCGCTCGAAACTCAACTTTCAAGAAGTAGTATTACATTCCAACGAATCCACAAGAGTCGGACGTCTTGTACTTTAGTTCTGTACTCTTTAGTATTTACAGTTTTTAAATAACATTCTCTGGTTGATAATTTATAATCTGCTGGCAAAAAGAGCAAAGGACACATACAGTAGTGTTTTGTACAGTATTAGTACATAACTAAGTATAACGCTCTGTTTACACTATCAAATTTTATGTGACAAATAAATGTAATGTACCATATAGAGTACTACAGTGTTACGTCACAATACCACGTGATACTACTCCGTCGCTATCGTTTCAAAATGCGTTCAACCAGACGCCATTTTCTCCACTGACAAACCATTGATCCCAATTTCTAACCCCTTTCTGACGTAATTATTAGGCCTAAGATGTTGTATCTTAGTTTTTCTTTGTAAATTTTAATTGATGATTGAATGTGTGTTCGATAACTAATGTAATGCGAGCTTTTGTGTTTTTAGTACATTTTGATGTTAAAATATTAGATTTTAAAATGCCTATTCCAGAAACCCTCTGAAGTCAATCAGACGTAATGAACGGTAACCAAAGTCTGGTTGGCAGAGGGCGCTACATGGCATTGTGACGACACGAATGTGGTACTCTATATGGGCATGATGATGTAATAAGATATCCCAATATATGGGCATATCACATTTATTTGTGACATAAAATTTAATACTAACAGTGTGGACAGAGGTTTAACCATACTTCAAAAAATAAGGACTGACAAGCCATTATGATTCGATATTTAGATCATAATTTATAAGTCATCATCAAGAATGATATTATATAATGATATATAAATACATCATAGCCAATCATAGTAGAATGTACCTAGGATGTTCCAAAAGGCATAAAACAGGATGAAATATATGCTTGCTCACTCTCATCACATGTTAAGTTCTTGTATAATTTTAAGCATCATTTTTGCTTCACAGGTGAGCAATGATCCGAGTGGTGATATGGTTCTGAAATTAGCAGACTTCGGCCTTGCAATGGAAGTGAAGGAACCGATTTTCACTGTTTGTGGAACACCGACGTATGTTGCTCCAGAAATCCTTGCAGAAACAGGTAAGAAGATTCAAAAAGATAATTTTTCAAAGTATTTTAATGAAATTTACAAAGATTAATAAATCTATAAATCTTTGAGCATCAGTTAAACAAATAGTTAAATGGCCGCCCACATTCCAATCAATATTACCAAATAAAATCATTTAACAATTTTTATGAATATTCATGATGTTTTCCCATTTTGATTAATGTTCATACTGTAGATGTTTTCCCATTTTGATGAATATTTACTGTTTCCCTATTTTGATGAATATTCATATATGTTTCCCCCATTTTGATGAATATTCATTGTTTTCCTATTTTAATGAATATTCATATGTATATTCATATACATCACCTATTTTTTAGGTTATGGTCTTGAAGTAGACATGTGGGCAACTGGGGTGATTACGTACATCCTTCTTTGCGGTTTCCCACCATTTAGAAGCTTGGACCGTGATCAGGAGGAGCTGTTTGAGATTATTCAAGCTGGCGAGTTTGAGTATTTGAGTCCATATTGGGATAATATATCAGATTGTAAGTCTTACAATTTCTAGTATAATAATGCTGTAATAATAATAATAATAATAATAATAATTGCCGAAGATCATTTTCAATTGCAATTAGCTCAGTCTGCCATCGACAATCAGCATCTTCAAGTATTCACAGAAAGAGCGGAGATAGATTTGTCGAGAGTCGTAAACATTGCATGTGGCCAGCAGTACCAATAAATGCATGACAGGAATTGCAATAATGCTCGTGCATAATATGTCATAGCCATAATGTATACAGTAGAAAGATAACAAAAACAAGAGAGATAACTGTTTGTTACATGTAACTCTATACTGTGTTCACTATACAGTATACATTTTATGTTGTATAGCAAATATACAGTAATGAACAGTTATCTTTCTTGTTTTTGTTATACTTTTTATGCTGATGTATTAACTGATGCATATAATATTTCTGTTTTTAATACAGCTGCCAAGGACCTAATTAACCATCTTTTGGTTGTTGATAAAAGAAAGCGATACACTGCCAAGCAAGTTCTTGAGCATACCTGGATCGTCAACGAAGGTCCTTCACGCAACCGACTCAATCTTCAACGTGAGATAACAATGAACCTCGAAAAGAACTTTGGTAAAGGAAAAAACCATCAGGTTGGTGTGGAAACATAATCGGTGTCTAAATCTATTCTGGTTAATTTTTATTATTGTGTCAGCTAATGAGAAAATAGTCTGTAGTGATGCCCACAAGTGTTGTATGTATTCCCAGAATGGCTGTCTGTATGTTGGCTTCTTATTCATAACTTATTTACCTGATTTGGTATTATTGTGATAATTGAAGAGAAAATAGTCTATACTGATGCCCGTAAGGGTTGTATGTATTCCCAAAATTGCTGTCTGTATTTTGGTGTCTTATTCATAACTCATTTACTTGATTTGGTATTATTGTGATAACTGATTTTAAAATAGTCTCTACTGACGCCTGTAATGATTGTACATAGTCTGTACTGATGCTTATACGGGTTGTGTGTACTCCCTAACATTCAGGTGCGCTGGCTTAGGAACTTATAGGCTGGCAATGACGTAAATTATGCTGATTGTAGTTTTAAAAAACAGCCAAGCATATGAATTAGGAAATGAGGGTGCTAAAATTATGTAGTGACAGTTGTATTAGAGGCCTAGGATAATTCGTATCTGCTTCAGTACCTAAATCTCCAAATATCTTGTAGAAATAACAACAGTATTTATTAGCTACGGTAACATGTGAGTTGGTTCAGTATATGGCACAAGAATACATAGCCTGAGCTCCATTCTTCTTAGCATGGCCCTTAAGACAATTTTGAATGGGGATTTCATACATTTAATGCCATATTTCTGAATAATATTTCCAAACAACAAAATTAACTACTGTATGTCAATTCAACAACAAAGGTAGGCAAGTACTAATATAGTGTATGGCTATTGACTGGTGTGATAATAGAATACCTAGTTACTTTACAATCGCTTTTCTTTGGCAGTAGAAACTACATGTTCCAGCTAAATTAGAAATTACTTATTAGAGAAATAAATTATATATGATGTTTTGTATATGATGTCAATTCAGTACTTAACTCTATTCGATTTTTTAAAACAAATAAATTGCAAATATTGCATATATAAGGTGGAGAATATATTTGATAAATGTAACTTGACACTGGAAATATAATATGGAGAATAATAACAATGGACTTGTACAGTTATTAAATGCACATATGTATATAATGATATGCTTAGGTAGACAACTCATTCAGGTACTGTATGTATGTCTCATTACAATGAGTTCCTTTTAATAAATCCTTGAAGTACAGATATGGTGTGTAGCATTCAGTATTAGTGCATGGTTCAATTAATGGATATATATGCAAATAGTCATTCAATTAAACAACATTTCTTGTGCATTTCTATCCATATAACATGTCCAATAAGTTTGAATATAAATATGTTTTCAATTTTACGTTGAACTGGGATTGTTTTTTTTTTAACATACGCATATTGATTAACATCATATAGATATACCATGATATTTTATAGATATATATTCTACATATTTATTCATAACATGATATTTACAACATGTGATATATCTACATATTTATTCATAACATGATATTTACAACATGTGAATATAAAATAGTTTACTTGTGTATATTTATACCTGTCACCATATTTAATCATGATGTCTGTAACAAGTATGTTACAATATTGGCACAATGAATTGGGTTGTTGGCAATTGATCAGAATTACATGTGTGTGGTTTTTTTATGCAGATGTTTTCTATGCATTTATCTATAGCAGAATGTATGTTTTGTAAATTTATAGGCCTACATTCTGGTATAAACAGAGAATATATCAAAACAATGTTAAAATCCTAAGGAATAACATAAGTATAAAACACCAATAATGATCATAAACTGTCCGAGGCAAAAACATGCTGATGCATTTGTATCAGTCAATACTAAAATGTTATTCCATTTTTGTTAATCCTCAATACCTGGAAATAAGCCCAGGGGATAACAATCAGTCAATACTAAAATGTTATTCTTTTTTTTTTATTCTTCAATACCTGGAAACAAGCCAGGTAATAACAATTGTTGATATAAATGCTTTGTTACAAATATAAATATATTGAGTCATAATGTGCCTATATATGGTCATAATGTGATGTCATCATGACCATATTTAGGCATGTCACCTGTTTTTGTCAAATGAAATATGAGTCTGCAGAGAGTTAATAAACCTGAAAAAAATGTAATTGCTTACTTTGTATATTTAAGTTTTTTACTTTCAATTAAAAATATTTTCCTTGCTGATTGGCGGTGTAGCTTGGTGATAATGATGCTTGCCTACTAGTCCCTGGGTTCTGGGTTCCAATCATGTGAGGCCAGGATTTATGTGACAAGACAAAGACTTTTTTTATACCTTGTTTAGCGAACCCACCACCCGTTAGTAATGATGAATTTCAAATAAAAATAAAATTTTATTTTTGGCCAACTAGCGCACCCGTTGCCATAAAAAAAAATGGAAATTTCAGAAAAAAATTAAGGTTTTTCATAAAATTTAATTATTATTAAATTTGGCCCTTTCACTAATAACATTTTATTTTTATTTTATTCTCCATTTTTATTCTTCTTTGTTTTTGGCAAGACCGTTTGCTAAGTAAGAAAACAAAAGTTTATTTTTTTTCCTGCCCTCCTCTGACGATCTTTAAAAAGATGAGTTCGCGAAGCAAGCTATAAAAAAAGTCTAGCCCAACTAAAGACAACTCTACTCTTGAGGCCTCCCAATAAATGGTTTATGCAGCATCACTTTATCTTGTAATACAAGTCACTTATTGTTGGATAAGAATGAATAAGTAAAACGAATGCTGTAATAAAACCAATATATTAGCGACTGTTGGCAAACGACATAAACCAATTTTAGGAAATGTTCATATTCGTGCATAATTTATTTTTAAAGAACATAAAATCTAGCCTACATCTTATTCTTAAATGCAAGTCAAAATAGGATAAAGCTATCAAGATGCATGTTGGGTAATAAGGCTTGAGTTAACGTGAATGTTTTGCATGGACTCAACTGATTGGTATTCACTTTCATGACTTCTTACAGAATCTTAGTAACAGCCTGTAAATCAGTGAAAACTAGATTGCTTCAATCTGTGTCATATTGGAAGGTCGTAACTTCTTTAATATTTTTGAATAAGCAATTCCATGTTTTAAGATTATTTTACAGATGGCATATATTTTAAAATACAGCGAAGGTATGATGTGTATATTTTTCCTTGCTAAGAAACCAGTATCATATTTTGACTTTCAGATTAAATAGAAATAATTTTAGTAAAATAAGTACTTTCAAATTATATTGTATTATAAACTCTGTGAATATTTAAAACTTGGGTTTTATATGCAGATGTAAGCCACCATGCTCTGTTTAGCAGATATTGTATAAATGCTAGAATGAAAATGATTCATAAAATAAACATGAACAAGATAAATATAATTTGGAAATCATGATGTACAGTACTGTAAATAGATGTTAGAATTTTGGGTTTCTCTTCTGCCAAGTGCACGAAAGATTATTTTTCAACATAGTTGTAATTTTGTGATGCCTGCCTTTCCATGCCAAATTTCTGGAATTAATCCTGTTAGCCATCCGGGTTTTCTCTCCGCAAAAATAACTCTTTAAGCTTCATTGAGTATAAAAGCATAGAAGCAGTGGCGGTACAAGAATTTGTCTGGGGAGAGCTGCAGTTGTGTATCTTGGCGCACACCACCCCCACCCTCTGCCTAACTTTCCATGTCAAATTTCTGGAATTAATCCTGTTAGCCGTCCGGGTTTTCTCTCCGGAAAAATAACTCTTTAAGCCTTATTGAGTATAAAAGTATAGAAGCAGTGGCGGTACAAGAATTTGGCTGGGGAGAGATGCAGTTGTGTATTTTGGCGCACACCACCCCCACCCCCACCCCACCCGATATAATAATCAGCAAGAAATAAGTACCCATTCTAACTTACTCCTTTACAGCATTTATCTGAATTTTCTTTTTCAAACCTCATTACTGTTAAATTTTTTTAATATTATATACAGGATATAAAAATTTAATTCAATATTCCTTTTCTTACTCTCTTCCCTCTCGTTATTCTCTCTCTGTTCTAGATTGATCTCTATAGCCTCCTGCATAATTGAAGTCTACATGTTTTTCCATTAATTTCTTTGTCAATATTGACATGTTTTGATTGCCATGGAATTTCAAATCAGTTTAAAATCTTTAGAATATTTAACCCCGTAAATTCAATGACACCATGCAATGAATATATATTAATGCTTGCAGTACACCACATGGATATGCAACATGCAATGAAAAACAACTGCTGCAAGAATTTTGACGTAATCAGGTTTATTGTAGATCAACTTGTCATTTGGATCACAATTCAGATTTATTACTGTATTTGATAATACATGACAGTTTGTAAATTATATGCAGTAAGCATATAGATTGCATAGGCTGGAAGATAAAAATAGTAAAATACATTGCAAATGTTTTAAAAATACATGCAAAAAATAACTTATTAAAAGTATATAAAATTTGTTAATCATTGAAATAAAATTGATAAAAATAACAATAACAAAATAACAGTTGTTTTTAATGCCATACATATCTGGGGCAGATGCAGACAGTGCGATATCTAACCCCCCACCCCCAAATTGTATTAAGAAAAATAACTGTTGTATTGAATTGTTAATATAATATTTTTATTTTTATCATTATGAACATAGTACCGGTAAGATTTCAAAGTATGAGGTCCATATTCTGAAAATGTTCTCACCTCAGCCTCAACCATTGTGGGGCTGAGGTGGTGCTGCCAAATCCTGCATCCACTCCAGCACATATATATGGAACTTATTTATATTTTTAAAACAATTAAAAAAAGATATGTTTGATGTCTACTTTGCAGGCCACCCCAACAATGATCAGATCATTGTTATCTCAGAGATAGAACCATGGACTATGGTACACATTAGTACTCTATAGGTAAAACCTTGTTTCCATATACCTGCAATAGCTTGAATTATTCAACAGGCATCTACAGTATCTCACATGTCATTTACAGTACCTCACATGATGGCCAAGTTAACCAATTTAACATTTTTATGCTATGAGAAGCAGGCCCAAATTTATTACCTTAACTGCTGGTGGCAGTTTGTGAGTCTTCGAATTTGCTATACTCTCAAATTTGCTACGTACTGTATTACACAAGAGATCATAATATGTAAATTAGCTAGTTTACACCTTGAGCACAATCTAAGAACAGATAATTATACTTGCACACTTTGAAGTGGGCACAGCCAAGATGGTAAACTGTGGAATGCCCCTTACACTGGTTTTTGAAACAGAAATATCTTGCATCATATTGCACAAACATCTAAATTGGAATGGCAAGCTTATATAAGACATTATAAGATCCAACATTTTGGTTTTCAATTGTAATTAATTGAGGAAAAACATGTCCCAATTGAAAAATCAAAGAGTGTTATACCACTTAGCCTCATAGCTCAGTTGGTAGAGTATCCAAATGGTAATCGGAAGGTCTTGGGTTCGAATCCTGATGGAGACATATTTTTCTCAAATATTTATCATCATCTTTAACCAGTGGATGTGTATCTCCATACACACAGTTGCTTTCATGTAATTACTTTTTGGGTCTTCTTTACCAATTTAAAATGATATAATGATGCATCTACTGTATGATTAACTTTAATACATTTATTCAACTTTTGTTTCCAGAGGGTTTCTCTAGCAGTAAAACTGACCATATTGGCTCTCCCAGAGCACATAAATATATAAATATATCTTGAAATCTTCCTACCAATCGACAAAACATTTGCAACAAATATAAATCTTTATAACTTTCCTAATTTAATCAAATTATATAAATAATAAATTTATATAAACTCAAATAAATTCGCCACATAGAAACATACTATTATCACTTGGCATGATAATGCCAAGTGATAGAGGGACTAAGAAATTACAGGCCTCAATAAATAATAATGAGGCAACTGTACCTGCTATCAAGTGAACTTACCTAGGCCTAGCAGAAACTAATTACAAGGTCTAAAGCCAAGCACACACTGCATCGACGACTGTCCACCAACAAATCCCACATCTGCTTTTTGCAGTGCTTGACTCAATGCCTGCTGATTATTGGTGGCAGTTTAGCAGTTCGTCATTTAAAACAATAACTGTGTGTACCTTGTTGCGGCATTTTCCATGGAATCTAGTTGCAGTGTATGCCTCGCTTTACACCAGAAAGGCAATTCAAAGCCTAGAACAAACCATGATCCACAAGACACTCCCTCAAGACATATTACTTGATACTAGAGCAGATACTGGCAGTATAGCATTGATCATCACTCAGCAGCCATCCATACATGGCCTAGCACAAACTATCCTGTATCCGGCTCAAGACATTTGAACATCACCAGAGCATCTCTTCAGAATCTGTGACATCACTGTCGGAATCTGGTTGTCTTGCCTGCTGTTCTCCTCCCTTCGTCTGAATATATGGTTGTTGGATACTCGACAGCAGCTTACAAACTATATCCACAATGCATTTGTGTTTTTCCTCTATATCTTCAGGCTACATGAAGACAACAATTTAAAAAACATGGAATTTTACAGGTCAAAATCAGATCAAATCAATTCAAATAAAACTGATTTCACTTGCAACATTGATAACACAATACAATATCAAATTATTACAGGACTGTCAATGTAATATATCATATATGATTGTGTATTAATGTCTTAACATGTTAAGAGACATATTATTTTATTTATATTTTAATATAGTATATCATAGTATACATCTTACCAATTGTGACAAATTTGTTTCAAGTGATTCACGTATTAAGCTCTGCACATGCTCAATGACCTCAAGCAGGATCTCCGCTACATCCTCAAACATGAAAAAACTAATTGATTTGGCGTGCTCATCGGTTATTGCAATCCTAAACCTCACAAGGTCGTATTCTTCACGATCCTCTTCAAAGCAACCCAGGCTCTCCCTCAAGTTTTCCTCTAAAAAAAGTGAACAAATTGTTGTAAAAATTATTAATAAATTGAGCCTAATAATATATCAAACCTATTATGTTACAGCTTGGAATATTTATCATCATTGCTATCATCATAAGAACCATTATTACCTTTACATGAAGTGTAAGCACCATTACCATTACCATTCTCATCACAATCAACCCCAACATTTTCACCATTTCAATCATTATTTTCATCATCATTTACGATGATGACAATTCTGATACGTTTACATTTACGTAGGTACATCCTGCAAAGGACCTAATGGTCCACAGGCGCATGGTAACAGGGGCTGTATACACCGGCGTAACCCCATATTCCTCTTGAAAGATGTACTGGGTTCTTTAAAGTGCACATGAGCCAATTGTGTACACTGGGCCTACGGTTTATAGTCCTTATCCGAGAATATTTGTTGTAGCATGACTAAAACAGCACACCATTTATGCTTACCAAGAGCAGAGGGCAATCTTTCTATCCAAGCCTCCTTTCCAGCAAGGCAGATCAACCCTAACTGATGTACCATGGAAGTTTCATGAATAAACGTTGCACTTGATTGTGTCTGCAAATGAAACAAAATACTGTATAAAATTACATGATGGTACCCATTATCATAATAAAAATATCTTGTGGATCACAAGAAAGTTTAGAGCAGTTGTAAATATTTGACCTACCAAATTGACCTGGAATCTTGGTAGGGAGAATACAAAGCTGCAGCCATTAGCTAGTTTGATATTTTTTCCATACCTTTGCAAAATATGTAAGCCATCTGGAGCTGTATGACTTTTCCTTTGAGTTGATTGATCTTCCTCGGAGTAAAACTTTTCCAACTTGCCTGAAAACATTTAAGTGAATAAAATTAAAAGAAAAGCCAACACAATAAAATTCATAGTAATGAAAACAGGATAATAAGGATATTGCAAGGATGAAGATGAAGCAAATGCTGATAATGACTACGACAATGATTATAAAAAACAATGTGATGACAATGATGACAATAAAGATACTGTGGCAGTGGAAATAATAATAAAAACATGTTAGACTTATACATAGTGTTTCATGCCAACAAGGCATCTAAGCACTTCACATTATTACCCCCCGGTTACTGGATCAAACAGATACTTAGCCCCTGGGGGAGAATTTAATGTTGCAGTTGTAATCAGCACATCTTGTGTTCGAACCTACCAGGTACCCACTTGTACTCCTGGGTGGAAACAGAAAAGTGCTTTGCAAAAGAACACAAGTGAAATGCACAGCGAGGGAATAAACCTCTGACCTCAATGTTGAGAAGCTGAACTACAAACACGGTGCCAAACTGATTATGATCAGTGTAAACTTTGTATACAACGATGAAGATACTCTTAAGATGAAGGTAACAATGACGATGATGAAAATTAAAATGAGAAAAAGATAATAATAATTGTGATAATGAATACAATATGTTTTTACATTTCATTAGGCCTACTCACCAATCTTTGAAGGATAATTTATTAGGTTTCAACTTCCCCCTGACCCTTAACCCTCTCCGAACCTGCAGAATATTTGGAACAAATGCACCACAAAGCACTGCCTGAAAAAAAAGGGAAAAAAATTCAAACTATTAGAATATATACAGAACACTTGGATGATGCATTTGAAGATGAGAAAGGGAAAATTGTTTTCTGCTACTCATGTCCAGCAATGAGTAGGCTGCTATGGTGTCTATTTAGACGTTTAAGCCGTCAGGGCCGTGTGCAAAATGGCCCATGTGCATGTTAAAGAATGCAGTACGCTCTTCGGAAGAAAAGTAGGGGATTGATTAGGACCCCACTGGAAATAAGTCTTCTTCAGACTTTTGTGGATTATCTTTGGTGTTCACACCTAATAAATCCAACCATCCAAGCTTACATTGCCTTTGCAATTCCATTCAGTTGACCTTTGGTAACTTGCCGGCAACTGTGAGCAACTAATGAGGCGCACGATTTGAGGTAACATGAGCGCTCTGATCGCCAGTTTTCCTCAGTTACTTTTAGTTGCCCATGTTTTACTTTTTGTTGATTCAAAGCAACTAACACGGTATTGAATGGTTTTGTGATTCTAGCACAAAAACGCTAACGTTGTATCAAATAATGGTTACATGGTAACTAGTTGTACATAATCTACTGTCAGAAGCAGCGTAAGTGCTATGGTCAATTTGCTTGTAATTACTTAGCTGCGTGATTGTGATTGAAAGTCAACATTTAAGTCAACTAGCTGTGGTCAGTTGGAATGAGTTGAGTTGAGTCGCAAAAAAGGCAACAAATCCAAACAAATATCAAATACAGGAGTCTACCGGAAATTGGAACGGCCTCTTGCACTCTCACCACGGCCTCCCACTCTTTCAGAAGGAAGCAAGAATCTCCCTGAAAATAAACCCGCTTCGCAAATACATGATATTTACCAGTTTTTACTACTTTATTTATCAATTGTCTCATGTACGTTAGTGCTAATGGATATCAGCATGCTCAGCAAAATGAAATTAGATGTGTAAAGAAAAGTCACTTAACCACAACTCCCGGGAGTGACTTCTTCCAACTTGGGACAGGAGCCCTGCGAATCATCCATTGTATTCAAGGTACGACATGACACTAAATGACGAAATGTTGAATACACACCTTTATTAACTCTACATTTAGCCCCTCTTGATTTGCACACCTCCGTTTTAGCCCTGCATCTCTAAGATTCTCAGAAAATTGCCTACGTAAACCTATACGATGTAAAAATCATGATAACAATTAGTTATCCAAAAACCAAAAAGTTCACCGTCAGATTAATCTCAGATAAGAAAGTATAATACATATTCCAAGCATTGAAATGCACGCCATCGTGTTGGGATTCAATATTTCAACATTAATTATGTCATCATCAGTATGTACTATACTTTCTTACATTTAGTTATCTTCTCAAAGTCAACATTTAAGTTTAAAAAGTTCAATCATAAAGAAAAATTTGTGAGGTATAGGTTTGGGTGTATATGTGGTTGTGTGTGCATATCTGTAGGGTACATGTATGTATGTGTGATATTTGCATGGGGTGTGGGTGGGTGGATGGATGTGTGTATGTATGTAACATGCAAAATGTTGACGGTTATGACAACTACAATACAGTATCTAAAACTTAACTCAAAATTTTTTTACAGAACAAGGTTTAGGCTGTAAATGAACAAAGCATTCTTGAGGAAAAGTTTTGTTTAACCTGGTGTTATATATGCATGTATAGAACAGTATTAAGAAATATTAATATATATATATATATATATATATATATATATAATAAATCAAGGTAGCCATTAACACTGTTAAATCATATATAAATCATCAAAGAAAGGTAAATGCAGTGTTCGAATAAAGGACTGAATAAATATATATATATGCACCTATTTGTTTCTAGCCGTACCTATTGTGTAATGGAGTGTATCTGGTGGTATTTGAATCTGTTCAACCATGAAGCCTCCGTGGTCTAGTGGTTATGACACTCGCCTTGACAGCGAGAGGTCGCAGGTTCGAGTCCCGCCAGAGGCA